TTTCTCTTTCTCTCTTTCTGTGAGTCTGTCTGTCTGACTCTGTGTGTGTGTGTGTGTGTGTGTGTGTGTGTGTGTGTGTGTGTGTGTGTGGTGGTGGTGGTGGGTTTCAAAAAACATTGGAGCCTCTTCTGTAGATGTGGCCTGTTTTCTGGGTCCACTGGTGGAACCTCTTCTAACCGGTTCAGTAGATTTAACGAACCGGTTCTACCGAATAGGTGCGAACTGTTAGGAACCCACCTCTGGATCTAAGGTACCGAGGGAGAAAATGAGAGACTCTGAGTTTTAGTCCTGCTGTACCCAAGAAAACCAGCTTGCTGATCTTGGGATCCCAGTAGTGGGATTCAAATTTTTTACTACCAGTCCTGTGGGCCTGGCTTGGTGGGTGCGGCAGGGGAAGGTTACTGCAAAATCCCCATTCCCTCCTGATCATCTGGGACTCGGGAGGCAGAGAATAGATGAGGGAGGGAGGGCCAATCAGAGATGGTATTTACCGGTTCTCTGAACGACTGAAAATTTCTGCTACCGGTTCTCCAGAACTGGTCAGAACCTACTGAATATCACCTCTGCTTGGGAAACACTCTGTCTCTCAGTCCAATTCAACTCCCAGGGTTGTTGTTGTTAGGGACAATAGGAAGAGGAAGGCATGATGGATATGTTTACCACCTTGATTTATTGTAAGGATAACAAAGGTGGGATACAAGTAAATAAATAAACATTTTATTTTGTAGTAACAATTCATCAGTTACCATATAATTAGAAATGGAGATAAACAGAGATCAAGATTGAGACTGAGAGATTGAGATGATAAAGATATATTAAGACTAATATAAGAAGCCTAACGTAGGTAGACATATAGATAAACATATAGATATATATCTATAGATATAACTGGCCATGTTATACTAATACTAATACTAAGAAAAATGAAAAATATTCCCCCTTAACTATATATTATGGTAAAACGGAAGGGAAAACAAAATAGCTAGTTATCTGCTGAGGTAATGTTCACTTCCCGTTATAATCTCAGCGCCTGAGAAAATGATTCTTCATAACATATTTTATACAGAGAATAAAACATAACTGTTATCATGATTACTTTTAGTATAGTTTGCAAATCAATGTTTTGTATATTATTTTTCAGATGGGCCAATCGTCTACAAGTCCTACCTGAAGACTGAATATAGTGATGAGAACATGGAATTCTGGTTGGCTTGTGAGAAGTATAAGAAGATTTTGTCAGAGCGGAAAAGAGTATCAGAAGCACAGAAACTTTTTAAGGAATTCATCCAACCCCAGGCTCCAAAAGAGGTAAATTAATAATTTAATTTGGGCAAGAATACAATATAATTTCTCATTTTACAAAGAACTATGTGAATGCTCTCTCAGTTGAGATCATTTAAATAATTTATCCAAGCGGGCAATTTATATCACAGATTGAAATCTTACCCATGACTTTTCTCCATGGAGATTCCCAGTCATCCAGGTCATGGATCCAGTTGCCTCTTGAAAAAATAAGCAAAATAAGTTTCTGATCCAGTTGCCTCTTGAAAAAATAAGCAGCTTTGGGACTTACCCATAGCTTGTATAATGAATAAGAATTTTATTTCTTTACTGATGAGGAATATCTCATTAAATCTCAATATAAGGCTACACAACTAGGCTGCTAACAAGAGATATATAAGGCCACCTTTATAAATAAACACATTACAAGTAAAAGTGTAATGAATTAATGGTGCATCAAATACAATAGTATCCATGGTAAGAATTTATTTATTTTTTCATACCATGACAAACTTGTGAGAGAATTTGGGCTGTGAATAACTGGCTTTAAGTCACCCAGTAATCTTCTATGATAGCTATTTGTGGCCCTTTAGCCAGAATCATAGCTTCTAGATCACACTGCCTCCAATATTTGTTGGTCTTTGCTAAAGCAGTAGGCCTGACCTATATTTCTAAGTCCCTCCTGATATGGTTTTTTATTGAAATAGATTTGATTTGGCTTCAGTTCTTCTGCATTGTGGTGTTTTGTGTTTTTTCTATTGCTTTCTCTGTTTTTATGCTTTTAGCCATACACAAATTACCCAGGTTATTTGCAAGTTGGGCAGCTATATCCAGGTAAATAAATTTTGTCACATTGTCAAGATTTTCATCTTTCTTGATGCCACTTTTTTGTACATTATTCAGCATCTTACTCTGTCTAGGCTCTTGGCTTCTGACTATTCTTCAAAAAGTAAAATAAAAATTAATTTCCTTGTTTGTTTGTTTGCTTTCAGATTAATATTGACAGTCCAGTGAGAGAAGGGATTACCTTGAAGATTCAGGAACCCACTCAGTGTTGTTTCGATGAGGCTCAGAAAATTGTTTACCTGCATATGGAAAGAGACTCATATCCCAGGTTTCTTAGCTCAGAAATCTACCAAAGCCTTATCGTCACCCTTTCAGCCCAGCAACAATCAACATACTGTCTCAAAGAGGAAAAGTGAGAGCTTTATTTTGAGTTTCAAAAACAGATAAAAGCACTTTCATAATATATTACACTGCAATTCCCATCATTCCCAGCCAGCAACATCTTTCCTGATTTAATGACCGCTGAGTTGCATTCAAAACCATGTCCCTCAGTTTACAGAAGAACGCACTTAGAAAATATAAATATTTTGATAGGACTATTATTTTCTTATTAAGTTGGCATGGGAACGTTTATATAAAATGGAACAGTAAAATTCAAAGGTATCAACCAAACCTTTAGTATTGTCTGAATAATGCAGTGTCAGAGGCTGATGATGGGGTTGAGTTAACCAAGGAGTCTTACTCAGATCAGTATTTCTACGTCTTAGCGACATCTTGATCTAACACTCCTCTGTGGCACTTCCTGCCTTATGCAAGCTGCAGCATCAATAACCAGAAACTCTATCAACATTCGGCCAGTCACCCAGGCATTAAGCTATTAAGCCTCTTCTAAACAATTCAAGGAAGACAACAGCTGTTGCTGGCTTTCACCCTACACTATGTAAAAGACATAGCAAACAAGACACAGTACTGTATAGGTACATTTGCAACAATATATTAAGGACAAGCTATATTTATAATATTATATTAAAAATCTATATAATACTGGTATCATTACCTTTAAAATTTTATTTCGATTTTAAATAGTATATTTTTAGAAGCTTTGTTCACACAAGAGAATTGTAGTTATTGGGTGGTTTAGAAATACAGGGATATCAAAGTAAAGCGTTTCAAAACTTAATAGAAATGGAAAGGTAGTCGTAATTCAAACCTATGTTTTTCAAATGAAACAAGCAGATATTGAACGCAAACACTGAAAGTTAACAGTGAGTTTAATATGAATATAAGTGAGTAAGTGAACATAAGTAACGTGTGAGTTTAAGTGAAAAGGGGAGGTCATTTGAAAGGTACTTAAATTATTTTTTTCTTACAATATTTATATTTAATAAAATGCAAATGAATAATTAAATAAAAGTTGGATGGTATTAACACATTAATAATACATTTTATTAACCATAACATTATTTTATTTATTATCTTATTTGAGTGACCATTTCTCCTAAATTATGCCTAGTCCTCCTCATTAGGTTTGGTAGGAGATGTATGTTCTAGATTTTTCTACATTATTAGGGAAAGCCTCCTCTGCCATGGGGGCCACCCTTTAGAACAACATCGTATCTTCAATAATTATACTGGATCTGACCTTGCTGGCTTTTCACAATGCCTTAATAAAGGCGGAGTTTCGTCCCTAAGCTTAAGGATCCAGATGTTTGGCAGAGCCTGTGCAATGGTAATGCTGGTTTCTTGTGCTTGTTTCTTGTTTTTATCTCAACTACTGGTGAACTATTGTTGTTGCTATTATTTTATGGTGTTTTCCACTGCTGTTATCTGCCCAATGTCAAGATTCTGAGATGGGCAACCCTGTAAACTGTATAAATAAACAAATTTGATTGGAAAGGTTGACAGAAGGCAAGGTGGCTTATATTCTATCTATTCTAACTCAAGCAGGAGCTTATAAAAACTCAGACCAGCAGTTATTAAATACAGTTCTGAAGGACTGTACAGGCTGCAGAGTGACTAAACAATTGTACAACGAAATTAACGAATTCTGCCTACTTTTCTTCGTCCGTTTTTCAATCTGGCCATGCCCACTTCTAGGATCAAAACTTGACAGGACTCAAAGAAATAATGTGCAGTCCTGATCTCCAACATGATAGAATGAAATGATCAGATGTTACACTGATACATTATCTAGAATAGTTGACAGTCACAGTACTTATGTCAGTGGTGGATGGCAGGACTTTTTTTTGAAATTTCTCTAGAACCATTATGGCGAACCTATGGCATGCGTGTCATTGCCCCAGCCCAGCTCCACAGTGCATGCCTGTGCACCTCCTTGGGTCTCTGCCNAAAAATGCAGACATTTGTTTTTCTTATTACTATAATCTAGATAGAGAATTTAAGGGTAAGAAAATAATCATCCCCTACCAGCTGTAAACCACAAAGGCCATATGTTGCTTTGTGTGGGGAGATGAGTTTTTTTGTCATATGATAAATATGGGAATCCCTGGGACTTTGTACTATAAACCACATTACTTGAACCAGTTGACCTAACAGTTTACACTTTCTTCTCCCTCTTTTTTTCTCTTTGGTTAATGTTTTGCCTAATGAATTCTGGACAATTAAATAGCTTGCCATGTTGATGGTCCTAAAAAGGATGTCTGGTTGTTAAACAAACATAACCCAGATTACATTGTCACCAAAGGTTGCCTCATTTGATTGTTAATAGATGATTATAAGCCCAGGACTGCTACTAGCATAATACATAGATATATGTGCATACATATTTATTCATGTTGTTGTCCAATATAAATAGTGAAAGAGATTATAAATTAGCAAGCCTACAAAACCCTACAAACAGCCAAGCTGGTTTATGAATCTTTTGCCTCAACACATGGAAACCAATTTTACTTTTAATCAAGAATGGATTACTACTAAAGTTCAAAACAATGAAGTTGTTTTGTTTTGTTTTGTCAGTGTTTGGGAGGTGATGGGAGGCCAGAGGAGAAGTTGAAAACAAATGCTTCTGTTTTGTATCCCGGCACATGGCAGTCTAAGAGCTAAACTCTTCCAGAAAATCAGTTATTTCACTTCCCAATTATGAACAGTGGGATCTATCCCTTTCAATAATTACAAAAATAGATTACTTCATAGTACTTTGCAACATAATGTAACGTTATAATTAAAATTGCTACATTTTGTTATTTTTGTACTACTCTTCCTTTCTTTCTAATATAATTTCTAATATAATGTCTGCAATCCTAATTGCTGATCAACTCTGCAGGTCTGTTTTTAAATGTTGATTAGGTTGCTTATTGATATATTTGATACAGTATATACCAATTGGCATATTTCCAAGTGCACCCGTTGAGTAAGAATGACTAAATACAGTTCAAAAGCAAGTACGATTTTCACTACAAAGAAATATCGACGTAATCACGTCGGAGAATTTGAAACATGAATACTTCAAATTCTGAACAAAGGAGGCTTAAGTAAAATAGGTCCTAATATTTCAGTAACTTCAGTGGCACTTATTTTCTATTAAGTATGTCCACTTTTACTGATGATGTCATTTATTCATTTAATCACACCTTAAGAATAAAAAGATTTTCAAGGCAAAATGCAAATAATTTTCTGCCTCGGTATTCTATCATGTAAGCACCCAGTCACACAAACTGCTTCGTCATGGGTTCATCTCTGAGGAGCAAATAG